AGGATTTATTTCAAACACTCGACTGACGTTATGAAGTGAGTTTGGAGTAAAAATATGTTATTAAATGTGGTATTTTCACATGCTTTCAGATGGAGCAGCATTTACTTCACAGAGCCGTAGTTCACTGAGAAGTTATGCATACAGCTGTCATTATCGCGAACGATTTCTTCCATTTCAGAATCGCGCAATAAAATCGTTTGCATTTTTTTTTTTGCGTAACTTGTCAGTGAACTACGGCTATGTGTAGTAAACGCTGCTCCATCTGAAAGCACGTGATGATGATTTCCTGCTGATTACAGAACCGGCTTTACTAACAAAATGCGCATGACAATCGCATTCGATTAATCGTGCAGCCCTAACCGTAATTGTAAATTAAATAAAACGCCAAACAAACAAAATATGTAATTAATTAAACCATGTTTAAAAATTAGCATTCATAGTGAATCAACAACGAGAGATTCATAAGTGTTTTGATTCACTAAAAATAACTGAGTCATTTGTTCCTGAATCAGAATACACTGGTGGCGCTGTATGTTTTGATTCATTTAAAAAGAACCGGATTACAGCCCTCTACGGACACCTTGGCAACGAGTGAAAATATATCTGTGCTAAACTTATACTTAGCCTCCAACTCACACACTGGCGAGTAAAATCTGAGAATTTATTAGCAATTGGCTAATATTAGACATCATTTAGTCGCCCAGAGTGAAGATTTAGTCGCATATGCGAGTGATTTACTCGCAATGTAGAGGGTTGGATTACATAGGTCATTAGTTTGGAAACTGTACTACACCACTCCATATTAATTACACTAGGCTATATATCAGTGTACAACACTGGTCATGTTATATGTTGATTCACTCAAAAAGCCACCCCCATAAACAATTTAGAGGACACTGGGTGCTTTTAATGAATCGACCAAAAACCGTACAATTCAAGAGTTTGCTGATTGAATCAGTCTGAATCCTTCATTCTGTGAACTCACTGATTTCGTCAGAAGGACTACTGAATCAACATCTGACAACTTACTGAACTGCAAATTACCATTTCTTACATTAATGTCAGTCATCAATTATGTTTTATTAATTATCATTAATGACTGGTTCATATGACAATGCATCATACAATTAATCTATATCACTCTTTTGCTATATTTCAAGTCTTTTGTGTGAGGAAAAAAGCTATTGAATGACTTTATATTAATTAAAAAAAAAGTCATTTGGACTAATGGTGAAGGAGAAAAATATAATCAAGCTGCATCACAGAGTGTAAAAGTATTAAAACAGATTTTCTTTTTTTAAATTATAGAAGTTGTTTCCACTAATATCTCATTTGCTTTTAGGCCCATTATGATCCCCTATGTGAATCTGAGGGGAGGAGATATATTAAGAAACTAAATTTTATTGGTCTATGTCAGTGCCCCTTTTCCTAACCTTCCTTTTGTTTGAGAAATGATCCAACTGAACGGCCCAACGTGAAATACCCCGACATCTACAACTATTTGTGTCCTAAACGCTCGTTTTTTTTTTTGCGGTCGACAGCTTGCAAAAATGTAGTTCTGGGTTTTTCAGCTTGTTTACTGTACACCTGGTCACCCCCCCCCCCCCCCCGGTGTGGGCGTGGCCTAAATGCGCTCTGTCTCTATAGTACAAAGATTTAAATAAAATGGCTCAATATAGTTTTAAGCATATAGTTTTTGTGTCATTTAAATAAGGGCAATCATGCGTTTGGAGAGAGAGGAGGGTTTGCTGGACCACTGGCACCTGATTTCCTGGGCCCGGGTCCAGTACAGCTAGCACCCGAGGCATTCAGTGCCACTGTAAGTTCACCCTTGTGTTTGATCAAGTCTGTCAGGGGTTGTAGATCTGTAATGCAATGTCTTGTGTGCTTTATATTTCAGTGTGGGCCTCCTCCTGCCTGTCCACTCCAACCTCCGCAGAAAAAAGATCAGCTGGCTCTGAAAGAGACTAAGACTGAACCTGCTAAATCGATGGCTTCAAAGATATCAACGTTCAAGAATATCTCTGCAAAGTAATGTCATAATCAATTTTTATTTTATTAATTTTTTTTCAACCATGTTTGGTCTGTGTGTTCTGGAGAGAAAATCAGAGCTTCTCTGCTGGAAATCCGTAGTGGTTTTGAGAAAGTAGAGATTGTTGAAGTAAACTCGTATGTTTATTGTTTTTTTCAGCACACCTCGTGGGCGCTCATTGGGAGTAATTTCACTTATTGCTGTAAGTGTTAATAATATTGTTTATTATATTAATAATAAATAATAGACCTAGATTTGATGCCATATTGAATTGCGAATAAACACAAGGCTTTTAAAGATAGACTTAGCGTATACATAAACCGTACAATGGTAAAAGTTTTTGGGGCTTTTTCGTAAAGACGTTTTGTCAGCTGAACATTTGGTTTGTTATTAAAAAAAAAACTGTACAGTCTATTGAATGCACTGTATTTGTATCCCTCACAGCCTCGTTTTCATTCCTGTCAAAAATTAAATGTGGCACTACCCTGACTAAGGTCTGGGTGGTTCAGTTTTAGTTTGAAAATTATTGTGCACGATGTTAATAGCCATAATGAAAGCAACAATATGTAATTTACCTAAGAGTCTGAGTATGTATTGTTATTTTGCTGACCAATCAGAAGCCGGGGCTGAAACTGTATCAATTTTAACTTATTATTTTCTGACTTAAGATTTACTATTCTTGTGCTACAGTTTGTTTTTAAATGAGTGAGTGAACTTTCCCGACTTGAAAATCTCACATTTTTGAATATCAAACGTTATAGCACTGCTTTTGATTTCCCCTCAGAATAATTGTGGTTTCATTGAACGGGAGGATTTGAAGAAGTTTTCTTTTGTATTTGATGCTTTTATTGGAAACCGGGCTCTCCTGGTGCCTGGGGTTAAAGTGCATTTCACAGTAGTGAAAAACCTGGTAAGTGTTTATATAGAATTCATTTGGTGAAGCATTTTTCATATTTGATAGAAAATATTCTAATTTTTGTACACAAAATGCTTGTGATATCAGGGAAAAGAATGTGCGGTTGACGTGAAAGTAGCACCAGGAGGAACAGAAGACATTGACAGTACGGTGTATGAAGGTGTAGTTCTCACAGTCCTTCCTGAGGTGAGTAAAACTCTCACTCAAGTACTTTTTGTCCTATCAAGAAATGCAAGGTATCCATCCATTATATCTATCGGTCACCGTACACTTTCATTTCATGGTAAAGATCTAGATGAATCTAACAAAAGGTTTATTAGAGTGAGTATGCCCTGTCTCCTGTCCTGTCAAGTCATTTGATATGGGTTTTGAATGTCACTATTCAATATTAGTCTACTTGTGTACTGAAAATAGAAAGAGAAGATCTTCTCAATGGAGGAAGGGTTAGAGTGTTAAGCGCTGAAGGAGTCCTGCAGGTGTGTGTCGGCCTTGAATAATGAGCAGAGATATTGAGTGGGAACTGAGCAGCCTCGACCCACTATCACTACTTCTATTGTGACTTCTGCCTCCTCAGTGAGAAATCACTCTAGAGGTTTTGATGCCAGAAGACAGAATTTATTATCAGAGATAATGAAGCCGATAGACTCTTCAGAGTATGTGATGTGTAGAATTTGTCTTTGCACACTCTTCTATACAGGTTTCCATATGCTCTACCCCAGGGGAGGGTCAGTACATATCATACAGGCCACTGTTGTTTATCAACTTTTGACCCTATTCTATATCTCCTCATATGATGGCAACACAAAGACTTGATGATCATACAAGATCATCACGTTTTCTCTTAATGGCAGCTCATATTTGAGGACACACAGTTAAATACATAAATATAATAGAAGAATATCTTGTTAATATAAATGGCTATATTCACATTGATAATACTTGATTTTCTGATTAATACAAATCTTTCACACTACAGGGACAAAATTACATTTACAGATACATTCATCAATTCACATGTTCAGACATTACTCAGTAACTGCTTTCACCTTTTGTACAATCTGTTTTAACCATGTATTCATAAATTAACAAATGTGCTGAGCAGACAGGTTTTTTCCTCTTTATGCGTGTGCTTGTTTGTGGGTGACTGCTGGCCTTTGGCGAGTTGGATAAGAAAGGAATGAGAATGTCTGGAGGAGGTTTTAATTCCTTAAGCAACATCCCCTGGAGCTTCGTCAAGGCCAGATAGTCACATTTACAAGATGGTCACGCACACATCAGGGTTATTATAGTTTTGGAAGTTTAACTATTTTTAATTTATCATTTTTATTTTGGTTTTCAATTTCAGCCTGTTTCTTGTTAGTTTAAATACTGGATATATATATATATATATATATATATATACACACAGTATATGTATATGTGTGTGTATACAGTGCCGTGAAAAGGCTTTTGCCCCCTTCCTGTTTTTACATTTTCTGCATATTATTAAATTCAAGTTTAATTGTATAGCGCTTTTTACGATACAAATCGTTGCAAAGCAACTTTACAGAAAACTAAGTTTCTACAATATTTAGTAGTAGCTTATCAGTGGTGAGTGTTAATGTACATATGGCAGAAATGTACGGAAAAATCAATTAAAGACGTAATCAAACAGACGATGAACACTATTAACAGCAGTTATTATATGATGCAAAATGTGGTAGTTCTGTATGTGGTTTCAGGGTTGGCATCATCTGAGGTCCTCTGATAACCCTGCTTCTTTTATGCTTTTGATATTGCATACCATCATGAACCCAATCATGAGTGAATTCTGTCTCTCTGCATTTTGTATAATCCCCATGTCTCCTGCTCCGGACCCTCCCAGATCAGTATTATCAGGATTATTTGATTTTATTCTGACAATGAGGGATGAGCTTCTGCAGTGATTAATTGTGGGCCTGTGTTTGTAAGGACTGTGGAGATATTAATTGAATCTGATATTAAATATTACAGACAGAATTCAGTGAGAGGAAGAGATGCTGGGCTTGATTTAATACTTCTCTGCATGCTGAGATACAGAGGAGAGGGATGGAGAGATTAAAAAAATGGCTTTCCGTCTGGAAAAGAGAGAAGCGGAAGGGTCAGAGTCAAGGTTTAACTGAATCTGACCTGTAATCAATGCAACGATTTCAGAACCGTAGGACACACAGATCCTGTTTACACTTGGTCGAAATTGCTGCCAACCCCTCAGAGGACCTCAGATGATGCCAACCCTGAAACAACATACAGAACTACCACATTTTGCTATAAATTTGATTGCATCATATAATAATTGCTGTTAATAGTGTTCATCGTCTGTTTTATTACGTCTTAAATTGATTTTTCCGTACATTTCTGCCATATGTACATTAATTGACAGTCACCACTGATAAGCTACCACTAAATATTGTAGAAACTTAATTTGCTGTAAAGTTGCTTTGCAATGATTTGTATCGTGAAAAGCGCTGTACAAATAAACTTGACACACACACACACACACACACAGGTGGGCTGGCAGGGCCGTATTACAAAAGCTGCACGCTTCCATTCAAACACACACACACAAAGGAAGCTTTGACCCCAGAGCATCATACCTCAGCAGCAATCACAAACACA